TCGCAAAAGTTTTTTTTTTCCTCCATGTCCCTTTAGGGGCTCCGTATCAAACAAAGCACGTTTTTCTGCAGTAATATATTTTTATCCTCACCCAAAGGTGAGTTCAGTCAAAGTTTGCATTTAATGAGGCAAAGGAGCGAGTTCTAAAGCTCACTGGCCGCTTTCTAAGGTTTTCTACCATAGTTTGAAATATTGTGCAATAAATCTGAATCTGAATTTGGAAAGAAATTTCAATCCAAAGCTGCTTTTTTCTTAATCTCCACTGTGGTGGACGAAGTACTCAATAGTAGTACTTGATACTATTAAAAACTTAATCAACTACAATTAAAAGTTACTCGTTTAAACATCTACTCAAGTTGAAGTATTGAAGTATTCAATTAAGAAAATATTCCTACACATTCTCCATCCCAACTCGTCACATTTGGACGCTTGGTCAGGCTCCCTCTGCGTCACATAATGACACACCGGGTATCCCTTTCAATATTTGACACGCAGGGTTCTCCACTTGACTGTTATAGCCTATATGGCACCAGGAGGATGGTCCATTATCATTTTTTGAAAGGTATAAAAGAATGTATCCCCAAATTAAATCCAATTAAATATGAAAATGCTGTTTTCCTGTTTTCCGAATGTATTTATTGTAACCCTGTTAATTTAACCCCTTAGTTACCTCAATGTAATGCATTTCCTGCTGACATTAGGAAATCAAGTGCAACTCCGATTTTCACCACTGGGTGGCAGCATATAGAAACGAGGTAAATCTTCCATAAAAAGCAATTTAAGCATAAAAAGGATTCAGAATATATTTCACAGCTTATTTGCAGATACACCAGGCTGGTGAATGTTGTTGAACTCCGTTGGAAATTGATATGAATCTCAATCGAGTTGTCTCGGTAGGTGTACCATTTTGTGTATTTAGCACATGATGTAGTTATTGAAACACGATATAAAAGGGTGCTAAATGATATCTAAGCCTTAATTTTTTACAAACCAGTCAGGATGACTTTTAAAATTAGCTGTGATAGCTGTTCACGGTGTGTAAAATGTTTTACTCACTGAATTGTGTTCTCTAAAACAGCGGTCCCAAACCTTTTTTGCACCACGGACTGCTATATGTCAGACAATATTTTCGCAGACCCGGGATTTATACTCTTTGTAAGAACGATCAAGTAAAATGATACGACTGGCATACTGTAACATCAAATACAAACAGCATAAAAATAAAACAAGCCGGTCCCATCGAGGCGTAATCTGAGACAATGACACACGAAGTGTGCTCCTGATGTCCAGTCTGCTCCATAGCTTTGTTTTGGTCGCTGTAACCGCAGATAATCCCGCTTCACAAAGATAGGATGTTATAGATAGGATGAGTCTTAACCTGTGTCAAGAGGCATAGATGCACCGACTGATGTTATTGGGAAAGAATACCGCAATTTTTTAGATTTTTCAAAATAAAACATCACTCAGACTCTGATCGTTGATAAATTATTCTGTGCGGCCCGGTACCAAATGACCGACGGACCGGTACCGGTCCACGGCCCGGTGGTTGGGGACCGCTGCTCTAAAAGACGTCCATTAGGCACAAATTACTGGCTGTTTGCTTTTCTATGTATAACTGGGTTGTTGGCTTTGTTTTATGCTGTTTATTCCAAATGTGATGGTACCAGAAGCCAGTTGCACTATTTTTTTCATTTAAACTGGATTTTGGAGAAAGTTTGTTTCAAATCTATATTCCCAATCTAAGTTAATGTATTCTGCTGCATTTTCTGTATACTATATATTTAAGTTAAAAAGAATGGACTAAAAGGCATTAGTAAAAATTAAACATGGACATTAGTGAATAATATTAATCTTTAATTTCTGTGCATCTTGTGTAGACTGTTTTTTTTTATTAAGGTTCCTTTTTAATTCGGATCCCTGGAGGTCGTTTCTTCATCTCATCAGCGCACTTGGTCGCCCGGGTGCCTGGCTCCTTGGTCCACCTCCTCTACTCAGCAGCACCACAGAGGCTCCTTTGAGAATCCTCGGTTTGGACTCTGAGTATTAAGGGGTGGTAGGACAACTTTAATTTTGAGTGCACTCAAGGGTAGTTTTCATTTTGGACATTGGACCAAGTTTATTTAATTTTCCCCTGAGATCTCATAGGTACATTGTATTTTTTTTTTATTCCCCTGTCCTTTTTGTGATTTATATTGTTCATAATCAATATTCTAATACAAATTTAAACTTAACTTGTTTGGTGTTTTATTGGGGTAGAAGCTATATTTGCCATGGGATTTGGTTTTGACCAACCTCTTTGCGAATCTAGATTTAAATAACCCTATCTCTTGACTCTTAGTGTTTTATAAGCATTGCAACTACTGTAGAGGGTTGCACTATGAAAGAAATATATTATTAATGTATAAACATAGTTTTGTATACATTCTCTGTATACCTAATGCTGATAAAGTTTGTCTAAGTCTTAGTCTAGTCTAATTCCGTGATTTTACCTTCCACTTTGTATTAATCTTATTTTTTCTTTTTGTTGTTTTAATAAAAACCTAGTTTTATATGGAAGAAATTAATGTTCAAGTAGGTATTCAAAAAGTATTAGTTTTCAAAAATTCAAATAAAATGTCTTAATATCAGTACTTTTCTGTATAATTTTCAGTGTAATTTTAAAGAACCTTATAACTTTCAGAATCCAAATGATGTATTGATGCGTAGAACCACCTGCTACAGATTCAACCCCACCTGGAAAGAACTTCAGCATAAAAATGACACAAAAAATAAAGACAGCTCTTTTGGTTTCTTATTTAAAAACAAACCAAAAAGAAAACAGGATTTTCTTGATTCTCCTCAAACTTTCACTATTGAAAAAAGGTTAAATGTTGAATCTATTACCAGAAACAAACTACAGCTCTCATATGAGAACTCATCTGAACAACTTGGCCACATGGCAACAACTAACGCCTTAATAAAATGAATAAACTACAAATATCGTCTGCCCAGAGTTTCTCACATTGTTATAATGTCATGCTAATCTTTAAAACAGTGGTGTCCAAATTCATTCCTAAGGGCTGCTATCTGCCATGTTAAAATTGCATTTCAAGAAAGAAAAATAGCAACAGTGGATTACAAAGCTAAGCTGAGTCAAAGGGAACAAGTAACTAGTAGCTTCCTAAAAATGGAGTGGAGTAGACTTTGAAATTTAGTGGAGTGAGTTATATGTCCCCCCCTAAAAAAATACTCAAGTATATATATTCAAAAACGTACTTAAGTACAGCAAGCAAGTAAATGTACTTTGTTACTTTCCACCACTGGATATAACATGATCTGGATTAATTCAGTAATTCATTAGCATCTCTGCATATAAAGCATTAGAGCTGAAGCTCTGCTTTGTCTGCAGTGATGTAGGCTGGAAGACCCGTTCTTTAGGGAAGGGGTGCTGCAGCATCATTTATTGATGGTCTTTTCTCTGACTAAGTCACATGTGGACTTGCTCTTGAAGACTGAGTGTCTGGATTTTATTTGAAGTCTAAAGCTTTAGAAATATATTCGTTTTTTTATGTAAAATGTGATCATTTAAATCAGTGTTTTTCATCCCTGGTCCCCAAGGCACACTGCCCTGTATGTTTTAGATGTTTCCCAGCTTTCACACACCTGTTATCAATTGATAGCAGATTATCAGGCTTTGCTGAACTGCAATCATCTGAATCAGGTGTGTTGAAGCTCAGAAACATCCAAAACATGCAGAGCAGTGTGCCTTGAGGACCAGGGTTGAAAAACACTAATTTAAATAACGTAACTCAATGCTAGAACTGCTAATGCTGTCACTCGCTGTTCATTCCAAATGTTGTTCCAATGTGACTTTAGATGCTTAAATCAATTTGATGAAACAATTAACATTTGAATATATTTTATTGTTTATTTACATATTCATACTTTATACCCATGTGCAAAAAACACATTTTATTATCTCTCAGCTTTACAAATAAGTTATTCCTGCTACAAGAAAGTCTGTCATATAGGTTTAGTTTTGTAAAGTTATCTGCAGCTGACTTTCATGATATATTTTAGAGAAGTTGCTTCAAAGTTTACATTTCATGACTGATTTGATTAAATATTTCATGAAAAATAGAATATTTTAGGAATGAGTCTTTAATCAAGAAAGCTGCATTGATTACAGCTCAGTGATCAATATGTTGTCTTTTTTATGGTATTATTGATCTTTCAATTTGGGAAGAAATTTTGAATATTTTTACATTTTATTGAGACATTAAATAAGAGGCATTGGTCACGGTCTCAGGTTAGGTGGTTTGAATGCAACAGTCTACCAATCTGTCTGCAAACACTGTTTCATGGCTAGCTAAGACAGGCTGCTTGTATTTATTTAGTTTTAATAGAACACATTATTCCTCAGTTTGAGCATCAATCCTTATATAGCAGTGGCATATATGGGCGTAACATATAAGTTATATGTTACGCCCATATATGCCGCTGCTAGAGAACTGACACAAGTGATACTCTAATGTCTGTCTGAACTATAGAAAATTCACTCACCTCTGCATAATAAATGCTTAAAGTGGCTCCAACAGCAGATTAGACCAACCTATTTTTTTGTTTAAGTCATCTAATTCCAGTAATTTGAGGCCCTTTTGGATGGATCCATTATGTGTAGAGTGTTGGACTTTGATGCTCAGGCGCTAATTTTATTCTAAATATGTAAGAAATAAATTAGACTAGACTGACATCACAGGAAAAAGACTCCATCCTGATAGATCCATGCTTTACAAAAAGGGGAAAGTTATAAGGGACACTTCAGAGATATGATTAAACTTAATTTTCTATTTAAAGAATCTCATTTGTTTTAATAAATGATACATTTAGCAGGTTAAGTTTGTCTAACATGATGAATGAAACGGTTTTCAAGTAACAAACATAGAAATCTTGGAGGTCATTTTCATTATTTTTAGTCTTCATTTAATGGATATCTCTTTATTAAAGTAAAGGAGACTTTATTTTCAAATTGTTCAAGAAAATAAACAGTCTGGGTGGTGTTCATGGTAGCAGTTGATAAGTATGAAAAAATCAGATTGATTGCTTCACCCTAACAATCTGAAACCACCAAAGCTAAATGAACACAGAGGAAAAAAAGGCTGCCAGTTCAACTCTTTCTGGTCTCAAAGAGGCCTTTGCGTGGGGAAGAGAAGAATCTCCTCTTCATCAGTGTGCTGGCTGCTGCCCTGTCAGGAGGAGGTAGTTGTGATGGAGGGTGCGTAGCTCTGTCAGTCTGCCCAGCAGGCGGCCGAAACGCTGCGGCCCTCCCCTGGCTGCTGCTCCAGCCTGGGCCCCGCAAACCCTGGAGAGCAGGTCCAGGATCAGCTCCTGCATTTTCTCCACACAGCTGACCGCCTGCAGGGATGCTCGATCTGGACAGGACCGCACAGATGATACATGTTCAAACAACTGGAGAACATACATCCCAAAAGGATTTACACCTCCTAAACTTCTTCTGTTAAAACAACAAAGTTCCACATAACTGACAGGATTTTAGACCGATGCAAAGTGGCAGATCATTTTCAAAAGGTGTGTGGTGCATTTATTACTTATCTAACCCTCATCTAAGTTCAAGTTTGTTAAAAAGCATATTAACACAAAAAAGCATTTGCAGTGTTGGTCAAAGAGTTGCTCCTAAAGTAGCAGAGTAAGGACAAGACAACTAAAATAAAATGGAACCATAGTAAAAAATGAAATCTGCCACTGTGTGGAAGAAAATGTGCATCTTCCTGAATGTGCATTTGATTCAATTCAGTTAATTTTTTTTATTTTAGCTCCAAATCACATCACATGTCATCTCAAGGCACTTTACAGTTCAACCAGATCACACAGTTAAATTGATTCAAAGTTTTCTATCAAAGGAAAATCAGCTGATTGCATCGACTCATTGACTGAAAGGCAAACCCTCACACTAAGCATGCTTGTAGCGACAGTGGAGAGGAAAATTTAATTTTAACAGGAAGAAACCTCCAGCAGAACCAGACTCAGTGTGAGCGGCCATCTGCCGAGGCCGACTGGGGTTCAAGGAGACAGAAGCAGAGATGCAAAAGGCAACTGTAAATGGCAGCCCCGTCCAGGAAACATGCATGATGGCAGTATAATGCTATGGGAATGCTTTCCATCAGCCGGGAAGCTTAAGGGATTAAAGTGAAGATGGAGTAAACTACATACGGAGTAGTCCTAGAAGGAAATCTGTTAAAGGCCTCAAAAGACTTGAGTCTGATTCAGAAGTTCCCCCTCAAACAGGACTAATCTAAGCATAAAGAACGAGCTAGAGTCTATTAGAATCAAAACCTATTCATGTGTTAGAATGGCCCAGTCAAAATCCAGACCTAAAATAGATGAGAATCTATATAAAAAAAATAAATAAAAATCTTACTTTCACTTCCGACGTTAGTGTCCTTTCATTCTGATTGATCTGTTATGGTAATTAAAGGGCTCCAGATGTGCAAAGCTAATAGAAACCTTCACTTAAAGATTTGCTTTAAATCCTTTTAGTTTATACGGGAAACTAACTTTATTTAAAGAAAGCTATCTAAGACAATTAGATTATTTGTTATATAACTTGTTAAACAGTCCCTGGTTAAAATGTTTACCAACTGGAGATACCTGACCTGAGCAGAGCAGAGCTGTGGCAGTAAGCAGGGTGTATTCAGCCTCAGTCACACGCAGCACCGCCATGCTGTGAAGGAAGTTTAGCACTGAGCCCAGGAGATCCTCACTGCTTCCTGTCCACACCAGGAAACAGATCCTTAAAGCGGGCTCTTTATGTCCACAGTTTGCAGATTAAAGGGGATGTATGAGCTCACCTGAACCGACGGACGTCCTCATCTGGAAGTTTTCCCTGGGCTCCAGATTTCTGAACCAGCCGTGCGAGGAAGTGGTGAAAAGCTGCAACACTGATCATACAGTGATGGGCTGTTAGATTCAAACGGGTGTATTTTCTAAAACCGTGTTTATAGTTTTGTCTTTATTTTAGTTTTAGTTTTCTCCCTTTACCTGTAGTGGGGCTTGCAGGGTTATTGGAGAACTGCTGGGCAGAGAGCAGAAACATGACCTCCAGAGAGGAAACGGACAGGAGGGCCATCTGGTCAGAGAAATCCAGGAGATCAAAACCTGGGTGACAGAGCACAAGCATGCAGATTCTTAGACATTTAACTTTAATCTACAAAAATAGGAATGAAATGTGGACCTCTCATTGGGATTTAAAAAAAAAGAACACTGCCTAAATGTGGAGGTGATTCCTTACCTGACTGTTTTCTACAAATAGCTTTTTTTCATCAGAAACAGTCAAATGATCACCAAATCACCATGATCTTCCAAATGATTATCAAACTAAAACAACCAGATTAATGCCATTAATACCAAACACAGTTTATGCACCTGCAAACACCATGAGGCCACATTCTTTGGTGTTCCTGGTGAAGATTTTTACAAACCCTTAAGATCAATGTCTTTTATAGCAGCAAAAAAAAAACATGGAAGAACCTTTGAATCAACCTACCCTTTAATTCAAGCACATTCACCATTCACCTTTATTTATTTTACTAACTGAGTATATTTATTTGTTGTTGTTTTTTTTGTTGTTCTTTTAAATGAAAAAATGTAATAAAATTGTAAACAGCTCCATCTTGTGTTTTTTTTTTTATTAGGGGTAATAAGAGAAGTTGCCATTCGTAGCATTAAACTGCAAAAGTTTAAACAGAAAAATTAAAAAAAAGAAAAAATTAAATCTTTTTTTTTAATTAAGTGTATTTCCCTTTATTTGGAGTTGGTAAATAGGATTATCCGTCAATGGAATGAATATTTCTGCCCTTAAAATTAGATAATTAGGTATTATGCACTTGAAATGATAAAATGGAGTTTCTTTTTCTTATTTCTATTTTAAATGTAATTCATCTTATTCCATGATTTAGTTGTCTACTTGCTACCAAGCAATTAGAGATTTCCCATGAGTGGAGATGCTAATCTCTTCTCATCCTTTAACAGTTGCTTCCTAAATTACCTACAAAAAAGAAATATTAAAATATCTTCTCCACAAACTGGGATTGCACATGTTTGTATCAAACAAACAGACCCACAGCATTACAGATCCTCCATCATTCCTAACAGCAGGACTGAGGAGCGTTTCCACATTTTCATGCGTTTTTATATCAACCAGACATCAATTCTGAATTGAAATGTACCAAAACGATATCACCATGTTATGAGATTTAATTGCTACCAGAAACCTCTATGTGTAACAAGTAGCACTGGGACACACACACTAGGTAACATAATCACAGAGAAATCCTAACCTGAAGTTAAATGAGTCACACCAATCATCAGGACAGAGATTCAGAACAGTCATTTGATATTTACATAGTTTGACCGGAAAGAGAGAATTCAACAGATTTATCCTTTAATAAAATACAAAACGGATAAATGGTAAATGTCAATGAATAAAGGTTTCCATCCACCTCACCTGGTACTGTTCTTGCAAACTGCAGCAGTCTGTTTAGGTGTGGGGATAAAACATCAGGCAGCCCCGCCCCCTCCAGAGCACACTGCCATTCAGAGACCTGCCAGCATGAGAACAACATGAGAACATCATAACAGGTGGTAAACCTAAAGTCTGGACACATACCTACCCTGTAACTGCTGCTTTCTTGCTCCCTAAACTGGCGATGAGCCTCAACCATCCTGTCTACAGTGTATTTCTGCTCCCGGGTCAAAATGGCAGGCTGAGTCTGGGGCAGATAGAAAAGAACTTAGTTAACTTTAACACCATTCATTTATATTCATTAAATCATCTGTTCTATAAAATAATTTTCTCTTTAAAATGTACAGTGTCTATAGGGGTGCAAATACAATAGAAATACATAATTGTGTAGCAATTACAGAAAACGAGGCTTTTAAAATCAGAAAACCATACAAAGCCCACGAAAAAGGGAAATTTGCTGTTTTACTATTGTTATCCATGGCCGGGAAACTTTCCCTTTACATCCTGTCTTGTTTTATGGAGCCTAGACGGAAGTTCAACTGAAGAAACTCATTGTTTTTCATACACGCACCTGCGACAGCCAATCAGCTTTGAACCACACCTCCACGAAAGCCAAATGGCAACCAAAGCTCATCTTAAAAGGCCTCCGATACGCACCTGTCAGCTCCTGTGCGCAGGTGGCGGATGCACTGTAACTTAATTTAGATGACACAATCGTAGCAAAAGCTTCATCAGAGTGTCATTTATCCCGGACTCTTACTGTGTTCCCTGTCTCATCTTAACCGGTCCGTCAGAAGACCACCATGTTGAGCCTGGTTTTGCCAGAGGTTTCTTCCCAACGGGGAGTTTTTCCCTCTCCACTGTCGCTTCATGCTTGCTCATCATGGACAAGTTCTCTCAACCTGTGTTATCCAAGCTGGACTTCCATCTTCCAGGTCCCTGAGTGAAGCTCTAGTATCACAAAGCTCAGCAGACCGTCTCGCTAACCAGCAGTCTACAGACTGACCAACTTCCCTATTCTTCGCTCCTGTTCATGTATATCTATCGAAATTAAGCACTATGTTTCCTGCTGAGGCCTGAGCACCAAAGACAAAGTAATTGTATCAATACATTTCTCCTAATTGTCTTCTCTCTTTGTGTGAGTTTTTCAGATGGAACTTCTCTTTCTTTAGAATCACCTCAGCTCTACTCCGTTCATCAATTTCTAAATAATTCCTCTTCATAAATTCCTGAGCCATTAGCCTCTTCACTCTACAGAGTTTTATTGTTTTTGATTCCCAGAAGCAGACAGCCTGGACTGGTTTAGAACCGGCTGGGTCAGAACAGTGGTGTGGTACCTGTCCAGGTAACCGGCAGGTAGAGCTGACTCTCCGACTGTCTGTGCTCTCCTTCTCTTCTTGCGCTCTGCTTTTACCTCCTTTCCTCAGTCGTTTGGACTGGCATTGGACCTCTGTCAGAAGGCCTTGGAAGAAAAAATATATATACATATAAACACAGAGAGCTGGAAATATACTTATACCATTTAAACCTTTCACAGCGTGTCATTTTACTAACACAAACTGTAATGCTGGTGATGATTCTCAGTCTTCCAGGTCATAGTTATTCCAAAACAGTAAAAAAAAAAAAAACACCAATCCCCTGGACTTTGTTTCCAAGTCTGAAGACATTTCACTCTACATCAAGGAAGCTTTTTCAATTAAAAATCTCATAAGCATGGAGTTCGAAACTTCATATAGTGGCCATCATCTCAACCCCCACCCACATGCAAGGGGCCGAAAAAAACCATCTTGCCTGGTCAGCCAGACCAACAATTCCCCCTAACGACCCCCCTCTGAGAGGCATAGACCAGTATTGGGTATTGCAGGCTGACAAAGAATCCGAAACGACACCCCATTCTTAAGGGGCAGACCCATTCTTCTGGTTCATTTTGCATGTTTTCTAAACCAAAATAAGGCTTTGTTTTTGGTCCACTTTATAAAGCTTTGAACTGAACACTAATTCTGACATTTTGAATTGAATAAGCTTGAATAAGCTTTCTGGATGGGAAGCGAAATGTCTTCAAACTTGGTAACAAAGACCAGTGGATTGTTTTTTTTAAGCCTTTTTTGGAAAACTGTAATGCATTTTTACGACGAGTGCAGGTTTTATATCAGGAGGAAGGAAAAGGATGTAGTTAGTTTACTGATAAAGAGCTGAAAAGTGTGGTGCACATTCTGATCAGCCACATTCTAGTGGTTTCAAGTTTTAGAAAGAATCGATCTGTTTTAAACTCCATACATCTTCCAAGATTCCCCCACCAGAGCAACTTTCATCTAAAGCTCATTTACCTATGGGCCTTTAAATGCTTTTTGGATAAATAATTACTTTGCCCCACATCTACGCCTCTGACTACCACCCAATCTTCTAAGCATCAATTCGCCATGGTTCCCCCTGCAGATGGCGAGCCCACTGGGGGATGGCCTTGCATCATTCCTTCGGGCCGGGCCCAACCGCATCCCACAAGTAAGAACGCTGGCTACTAGGCGCTTACGGAAGAACCCTAAGCCCTGCCCTGGCTCCAGGGTGGCGCTTTGGTTGGGCAAAGTCACATGCCTCGATTTTAAGTCCTCATGGGGGCTTTGTGAACCACTCTTTGTCTGACCTGTCACCAAGAGCCTGTTTGATTGCCTCAAGTTAAGGAGCTTAAGTATCTGGGGGTCCTGTTCACCGGTCGGAGATCGATAGATGAATTAGTGTGGCTGCTGCTATAATGCAGACCCTTCATTTCTTGGTGAAAATAGAGCTGGGCAAAAAGATAAAGCTCCCAATTTACCAGTTGGTCTACATTCCTACCCTAAACTACATGGCTGGGCTTTCCAATAGAAATAGGGTAAGGAGCTTGGTCATGCCGGAGGGGCTTGGAGTAGAGCCCATATCGAAAGGAGTCAGCTGAGTTTGCTCGGACATCTTTTTTGGATGCCCTCTGGATGTGTCCCTCGGGAGATGTTCCAGGCACATCCCACTGAGAGGAGGCCCAGGACCAAGACCTAGGACCTGGCCTGGGAGCGCCTCAGAATGCCCCAGCGACCCAGTCTCGGATAAAGCGGGAGATGACAAGAGGCGAGAGAGATTTTAAAAACAACCTTAATGTTCACCCAAGTGCTGTACAGCAGTGTTTTTCAATCCTGGTCCTCAAGGCACCCTGCTCTGCATGTTTTGGATGTTTCTGAGCTTCAACACACCTGATTCAGATGATTGCAGTTCAGCAAAGCCTGATAATCTGCTATCAATTGATAACAGGTGTGTGGAAGCTGGGAAACATCTAAAACATGCAGGGCAGTGTGCCTTGAGGACCAGGATTGAAAAACACTGCTGTACAGGGATACAATGTCATGCCTTCTTGTTTGGGTCAGAAGATGGGTTTTAGCGTTCAGGCATGTCTGAATGGAAGCATCATGTGAAGAGCTTCAATAATAAAGTTCAAAGTAATAAAAGCGTAAGTTGAATGTTACAAGTTTTTAACAGATAGCAACGATTTCAGTCTTGATTAAAAAAAATGGATTGTTGTGCAGCTAAAGAAATCTTTTTTGTTTTATCCAACTCTAAGATTTTACCCTGCATGTTTTAGCTGCTAATTTAACAAAGATGTCCAGAAAATCTAGATTAGAAAAATTGTGATTACATCTTGGTCAAACAAGATATGATTAGCCAAGAGGTGGTCAACAGCACCACATTCCTCGGGGTGCACATCATAGACACCCTCACCTGGAATGTAAACACCACCTCACTGATCAAAAGGGCACAGAAGCGCATGTTCTTCCTGCTGAGGATGAGGAGAGCCCACCTGCCCCCACCCATCCCCACCACCACACTACAGAAGCACCATAGAGAGTGTTCTGACCAGCGCCTCAGACTGGAAGAAGGTGAGAAGAGCAGAGAGGATCATCTCTTCCCCACTGCCATTAGACTGCTAAATGTTATATAAATTGGGTGTTTTTTTTCATCACAGTGTTTTCAATCACTGCTGCTTACCTTTATCAAGGCTGCGCTTTAAAAAAATGAAAAAGTCTCGATAGCTGTACATAACGAAAATTCTTTTTGTATACACTTGTGTGTAGAAAATGACAAATTAAAATCTGTCTAAGTCTAATTTCTTTGGATCTTGTCTTATTTAAATCAAGGATCATTAAGAGTAACCCAGGCTTTGACTTCCAAAAGACAAATAATGATTTTAATGGGGATGAGCAGTTGCCCTTAGTTAAAAGTAGATCCAAGTGTTGTCAGCATTTGAATGGCAATATATGTTTCTCTGAAAATGAAACCCAAAGCAACATATAAATAAATAAAAATGTGACCAAGAATAGACTCCTGAGGTACTCCATAAGTAAGGGACAGCTGAAGAAGAGACAGATACTTCAACATTCAACAGCTGCAAACTCAGGTCTCTATCTGTTTTGTAATCTGACATTTTGCTTGCGCAATTTTTTATTTAAGAGCATCTGCATAAAGGGGAATGAATGCAAATCACACCATATTTTTCAGATTATATTTGATAGACTTTTTCCAATTAAACACTAAGTGTTGATGTTTTACATAAATTATAAATAACGGGCAATAACATTTTTGTTTAAAACAAGACAAAATGTTAAAAAGATTCCAGGATGGAGAACTATTTAAACATTAGCAGCTTTAGTTTATTCTCTGGTTGTCATTTATACTAAAGATTTTGGTTATTGCTATTAATGTTTTCTTATTGAACTTTTCATGTCATGTGCTTGGATCAGCGTTTCCTTACACTCAGCCAGCATTCCCACCGCGCGGCACTTCCTCAGCCGGCAGTCCTGGCACTTCCTCCTCATGTACATGTCCATCTCACAGCTGCCGCCGCTCTTACAGTGGTACACAGCCTTTTTAGTCACACTGCGCCTAAAGAAACCTGCAGTTAAGGTGGAAAAAAACTTCCAGCTTTAGCTTTAAAATACATTAAAAGGTTTAGAAAATAAAGTGTTTGAGAGATTACCTTTGCACCCTTCACAGGTTAGAGCATTGTAATGATACCCTGATGCTTTATCCCCACACACCACGCACAGCTCATCCTGCCCTTTACTCTTCCCAACCGAACCCATTCGAGACCTCCGTACAAGATGCAGCCCCGCCGGGCCAAATCCCTGATTCAGTTCCCCGGAGAGGGACTCCTGGCTGGGATCGCAGGGGCCCTCCAGGCACTGAGAGCTGTACTGGTATGGAGGATGGCAGAGTTGAGAGGGTGAAGCCAAAGACGAAGGCGAAGGAGAGGTAGAGGAGCCATAGAAGGGGAAAGGCATGTTGGCAGGGAGGTACTGCTGCTGGTTGTGAGGAAGCAGCTGGGGGTCGGGGTCCTGCAAGGGGTAGCAGAGAGGGTCTGCCAGCATGTCTGAAAGGAGAGATGAATGAAATGATGGAGATGTAAAAAAAAACAAAAAAGTTTTACATCATAAAAAAAAGAACAAATGTGCAGATAAAATTAAGAACACAGAGGTAATCCAATCATTAGAATCATAAGACAAAATCATAAAAACCATCAACCGGAAACAGCTGATGATCAAAGGGAGATTGCCAATCTGTGATAAGAGCAGCTTTTCCCCTGGATTGGTTTGCAGATTAAGAATCAAAGACGTCTCCAGCCTTGATTTAAAGCGATTATGTGTTTCAACAGTTTTTCAGATTAAAATTGCTTATAACTGGAAGCTGGTTCTTTATGTTTGGTTCCGCTTCTTTGTATACTGGAAACAGAAGACCTGAACACTCTGGAAATGTTGATAAAATGAAAAAAAGTCTTAAATGTATTATGGTGTTAAACTGATCAACAATTTATAACCTAATAGATGTATTTTAAAGTCTATTCTCTGACGTAGCCAGTGATGTGCTCAATTTTTCCAGTCTAATTAATGACACTAGCAGCAGCATTTTCCTTTATCTGTAGCTCTTTGGTTGATTTTCTGCAGACCTTTGAAGAACCCTTTGCAGTAATCAATGTGACTAAAGATAAAAACATGGATGAGTTTCTCTATGGAGGACCAAGTGAGTCACTGAAAATGAAAAACAGCCATTTCAAATTTAAAATCACATCACAAGCATTTTTATTTTAGATTTGAAAAAGAACTATAAAAATTGTATTAATGATTCCATTATAAAATACTGCAATCTTAAAAAAATGGGATTTAAATACCTCAATTCATAAACATAATTAAAAATAGCTTCCCTACTACCACATCATTGCATTTTTAAATCCTTTCAGCAGTTGCATTTTCTTTCTCTTTTACGCTCTCCATTTACATTTGGTGTGAGCCTTCTGGCCCCTGAACACACTGAAAACCAAAATGTGCAAATAGAAAATACTTTTCAAAGTGGATTTCTAATTGCTGTTTTCATTTTAGAGGGATTCCTCAGGTCCTCCATATTTCTCTTGGTCTTCTTGTTGCATTTGTTCTTTAATTCTGGACAAGTTTTTCAGGTAGTAGAAAGACAACTTTTTGTTTTAATGTGTTTCTAAAGGCCCAGATTTCAGGCCTGTTCATGTTTCTAAATGTAGTAACTTTTGTTGTGTGCTGATTCTTGATCGTTTATCATTAGATCCAAAGATAATACCTTCATTATTTAAAAGGGAAACCGTTACATAGAGCTTTTGTTTTTTTTATCATTATTATATCATTTTTATCATTATTATCATTGCCAACCATCAATTCTCCATATGTTTTGTTAATAGATTAAATTTATTAATATGTTGGAGTGAATTTGACAAAATTAATTTAACAGACTGTAACACCCTGTATGTTTTGGAACATATTTTTCTAACTGAACTCTTCCTACTTGGTTTTCCTTTTGGAAATCATAAGTTTTGCAATCTAAATGATTGAACAGTGAAATGTTTTATTCTCGTTAGACTAAAGAAAAAAAAAAGAAAAAAAAGAAAAACAATCGAAAGAAACAGACACAAATGCAACATTTCAAGATGATGCTTCCCAAAGCCAAAGAGCGTCATAGGACTATAATTTTACGTGCCTTGTGTGACTTCACCATTTTAATTGCCCTATTGGGAGACAATAAAAAGCCGAGAGTGAGACCTTGTGAACTTGTTCGGACGGTTGAAACAGGATGCAGCTGAGATCTCTGAGTGCCACGGAGGAGGGCCAGAGGTTGTCTCTGATGAACAGTTCATGAGTTTGTCTCAGCAGAGAAAACATGTGGGGCCCCTGGCATTGGATAAAAGAGCAGCTGCACCAATGGAGTCGCTCAGGGAGCTTCTAGCAATCATACACTGATTAAACAGAGAGCCCACCCTACAGTCATACTGTTAGCAGCATCTGCTGATGATGGAAATACAAGAGTGGATACAGCTATTCAGAATTTGAAAATGTCCCTATAAACATGTCAGATGAAACAAATAAATCACCCAGTGACGGCCTGTTAGTTTTTATTACCGTATTTTCACGACTATAAGGCGCACTTAAACGTCTTTTTTCCCCCTCAAAATGTGCGGTGCGCCCTTTGGTGCGGTGCGCCCTATGTGTGTTGTAACTGCGACTTTTGAGACCACCTCATTGAGGAGATGATGAAAGAGTGGCTGAATGTAAGGAGACCAGGTGTTTTATTTTCCACTCATCACCATCGCTGTTAATATGTAACTCCATGCGTGCCCATCTCACAGCTGATGTGAAAAACATGGGGAAACAAATTAAACCTGTGCTCGCTGTTCAACCGCTCGACATCGGTGTGAACCGGACCCAGCAAGTGCAGCAGAAGCAGCGAGTTTACATGCAAAGTAAATGGTTGACGCGCGTATAGGTGCAGCAAAAGGTCCTGCAGCGCGTTTTGAGCAGCAGGAGCGTTTAAGCATCTGCCAACGCGCTGCTGCTGCTTGAGATGGAAAAATTGAAGTTTTGCTGCTGGACGCGCCGCATCAACCAATCAGAGAAGCTGATCTGGGAGCTGACAGCGAGACAGACACAGCGCTCTGATGACATGATATTAACGCAAATGGAAAAGGCTGGATGGATGAGGAGATAATGAAAGCGTAGCTGAGGGAGGTGTAGCCTATGTGAGGAGACCAGGTGGTTTTTTCCACGCATCACCATCGCTGCGTGCCCATCTTGCCCATCAGTTGCCAAACAAGTTTGCGATCACTTCCACCATAATTAACTTTTTGAAGAGTTTCAGTCTGGCTTTAGAGCTCATCATAGCACTGAAACAGCTCTGGTGAAAGTCACTAATGATATTCTCATGGCCTCAGATAATGGACTTGTATCTGTGCTCGTCCTGTTAGATCTTAGTGCTGCATTTGATACAGTTGACCATAATATTCTTTTAGAAAGACTTGAATATTTTGTTGGAATTAAAGGAACAGCACTAGACTGGTTTAAATCTTATCTATCTGATCGAATTCAGTTTGTTCATGTTAATGATAGATCTTCAACACGCTCAAAGGTTACCTGTGGAGTACCACAGGGATCAGTGCTAGGACCAATTCTCTTTACTTTATACATGCTCCCAATTGGTAGAATTATTAGACAGCATGGGATTAATTTCCACTGTTACGCTGATGATACCCAGCTATATCTGTCTATAAATCCAGATGAAGCTAACCCATTACATAGATTACAGGCATGTCTTGAAGACATAAAAACCTGGATGACTCTTAACTTTCTGCTCCTGAATGCAGACAAAACAGAAGTTATAGTCTTTGGACCAGAGTCTCTGAAAAAGAAACTGATTAGCCAGTCACTTCATTTGGATGGGATTAAACTGATTTCAGATAATAAAGTAAAAAATCTTGGTGTTATTTTTGATCAGGACCTGTCATTTAAATCCCACATCAAAGAGGTTTCTAGAATTTCCTTCTTTCATCTGAGGAACATTACAAAAATTAGAAATATCCTGTCCAGGGGTGATGCTGAGAAACTAGTCCATGCATTTGTTACTTCAAGGCTGGACTATTGTAATTCTTTACTATCAGGAAGTCCACAAACTGTAGTTAAAAGCCTTCAGCTGATCCAAAATGCTGCAGCCAGAGTTCTAATGAAAATTAAAAAGAGAGATCATATCTCGCCTATCCTGGCTTCTCTTCATTGGCTTCCTGTTAAATCAAGAATAGAATTTAAAATCCTCCTTCTCACATATAAAGCCTTAAATGGCCAAGCTCCATCTGATATCAGAGATCTGATTGTTCCTTATGTTCCTAACAGAGCACTTCGCTCTCAATCTGCAGGTTTACTAATGGTTCCTAGAATTTCTAAAAGTAGAATGGGAGGCAGATCTTTTAGTTATCAGGCTCCTCTCCTGTGGAACCAACTACCAGTTTTAGTCCGTGAGGCAGACACCCTGTCTACTTTTAAGGCTAGGCTTAAAACTTTCCTTTTTGATAAAGCTTATAGTTAGGGTGGCTCAGGTTATCCTGAGCTATCTCTATAGTTATGCTGCTATAGGCTTAGACTTTTGGAGGACATAGGGACCCCCATTTCATCATTCTGCTTCATTCTCTCTCTGTTCTCCTATTCTGCAGAATCTGTTAGTTCAATCTCTAAACTTCTGCTCTCTCTGCTTTTCCTCAAAGTAGCTTTGCCTCGTCTGTTCCTGTTTGGCTGTGACGTCATCCTGCAAAGAAACATCAGCTGTGCTGCTTCTATCAACACCCTTGTTTATAGATGTTGGAGATCGGCCTGTTTTCCAGTGTGGTCCTGTTTCTCTGACCGTGACTGAGTGGATGTGCTCTCTTCGTCCTCTGGCATGGGAGCTGCCTTGGAGCTCGTCTGCCTGGCTGCGTGTTTCCTGGACGGGGCCGCCTTTTACAGCTGCTTTTTGTATCTCTGCTTCTGTCTCCTTGAACCCCAGTCGGCCTCGGCAGATGGCCGCTCACACTGAGCCTGGTTCTGCTGGAGGTTTCTTCCTGTTAAAAGGGAGTTTTTTCCTCTCCACTGTCGCTACAAGCATGCTTAGTGTGGGGGATTGTATTTGAGTCAATGAGTCGATGCAATCAACTGGTTTTCCTTAGATAGAAAACTTTGTATCAATTTGACTGTATGATCTGGTTGAACTGTAAAGTGCCTTGAGATGACATGTGTTGTGAATTTGGCGCTATATAAATAAACTGAATTGAATTGAATTGAATCTCACAGCCGATGTGAAAAAAAGGTGAATCAAATGGACGCTGTGCTCGCCGTTATCCCGGGGGGTCTGACAAAGGAGCTTCAACCGCTCGACATCGGTGTGAAGCGGCCGTTCAAAGTAAGGCTGCGAGCGGCGTGGGAGCGATGGATGACAGACGGAGACCACAGTTTCAGGATAAGTGGAAGGCAGCGCCGGGCGAGTTACGCCACCGTTTGCGGATGGATTGTTGATGCTTGGACTAACGTGTCTGCTGGCTCTGTTGTTCAAGCT